TATCGATATGGCAAATATCATGATATTTTTTCTTGCGATTATTACATCAATATTCAAAATTCGCGGATCTAATTCCTGAAAGAATTTACACCCAAACATTTGTGTATTTTCTTTTCGTTTTGCGCAATTCAATCGCCACCCGCTAGTTGGCAGCAGTGTGCGACAGGTTTTGTTTCCACCACTGAAATGTAAATCCCTCCATCATGGTGCAGATACCTCATGTTAAACATGTTACGTATCAGTTTGGACGTTTTATTGAACATTCTTACAATAAATTCAGTAAAAAAAATTGCTTGTAACGTCTGACTAAATGTATCGCAATATATCGGGATACATTGTATCATCTCCCCTGTATCGTGATATGTATCGTATCGTCAGAATTTCAAAAATACACATCCCTAGTCAGAACATGGTTTTACAAAACATCATTTTTTATTGGTTACGCTTAAAAAATTTGTCGGATTTAAGCCAATATTCCCCTATTTCTAGGTTCACTGCATCAGTACAGAGTTCACCATGCGTAAGCACGGGGGAGAGAAAGGCGTCCCGTTCCGCATCCAGATTGACACTTTTAAAGAGAATGAGAACGGAGAATACACGGAGCATCTGCACTCAGCCTCCTGCCAAGTCAAAGTCTTCAAGGTTAGGATGAAAGAAAGCATGAAACCAGACGTTGGGAGTGTTCACAACCGAGGATTTAATTTTCTCTGTGTGAACCGTTTCAGCCCAAAGGTGCAGACAGGAAACAGAAAACGGACAGAGAGAAGATGGAGAAGAGAGCCCCGCAGGAAAAGGAAAAGTACCAGTCTTCCTACGAAACTACAATTCTAACGGAGGTACGCTTTCTCTGAAGGTGCCGTAAGCTTCGATCGGCCTCATTCACTTGGTATTTTACTGGTGTAAGCAGCTCATGTGTGAAATGTCTACAACTATAATGATAAATACAAAACTTCCAGTTGTTATAGTAACTAGCTAATTAAGGAGCGGCCATTTTTGCACTTACAAAAAAACCATCAAACATTTAGCATCGTTGGCATTGAGAAGCCTTTTAAATCACACAGTGTGCAGTGCCTCTGACAGAGAGCCTCATTAGATGTAGATGCAGAAGGATACATCCCACTACAAACTAAATCTACCAATGTGATTTAATACAGAGATGGTCCTTGGAACTGGTCCCTCAGGAACACCTCTAGAACTAATACCAGTACATACTGGGATCTGAATTATGTCATATGTTCAGACAGTCCTGCTCTGATGAAGATTTGCTTTATTATGTATGGTCCGCTGTGTCCCAGTCCTCTAAAATATCAGTGAATCAATCTTGTTTGATAATTCAGTAAAATCATTTGTTAATATTCAAACTGGTTTGATTTCACTAAGCTGTTATTCTCATACCTGACTGTTAGTCTGACTAAACGTAACCAGATGTAAAAAACTTCATTAAAACAACCCAGCATTGTCGTTTTATCCGAGATTTTTTTCCATAATAATTCAAACTAAAATGGTGTGGCCTGAAATCGGTTGCATTTTTCAAAGAACCAGTTAGAGCTGACAGTAATTGTGCTTTTGTTAAGTTCAGGTCATTTAGTGTAAAGTGAAGCTTTTACTAGAGAAGGGTGTGTGATGTCATTATTGTGTGTCGTAACTGAAGCTTTGGTCTGTTGCAGTGTTCTCCTTGGCCTGAGGTCACTTATGTCAACAATTCTCCGTCTCCTGGCTTTAATAGTTCACATAACAGCTTTCCAGTTGCCGAAGGGTACGACTGCGCAGAAACTAGGTGGCTGCAGCATTCAGATTCACATGGATATGGCTAAAAACCAGTTATTTAGGTTTCATTAAACATTTCATCTACTTGTCTTATTTGTCATCTTCTCTAGAAACGGATCTCCAAGCCACCAGCCTGAGCCTGTTGTCCAGGTAGCAGATGTAAGTCCAGACTCTACCCACCATTAGCCTCATATTAGTTACACACATTTAAAGCAGACTACCCTCAGCTGTTATACACAATTAAATAGGCTATTTTAATCATTTGACTCTTCATTTTTGGTTTATTTTTTCAAATTGCTACTGAACAGTTCATAAGTCCTAAACTTTAAGCTCTGACATTATTTCTTTTAGAATTTGTTACCCACAGCAACACCACAGGATGCTCAGCAGTGGCTCCTCCGAAACCGCTTCTCGCCTTTCTGTCGTCTTTTCACAAACTTCTCAGGTAAAATACCACATTTTGTGTCATTTTGTTGCTTTACTGTGTCTCACACTACAGCTTCATTAAAGGTGTGGTTCATTGCAAAAAACAAACCAACATTTTAAATGATTATTTTAGATTATAATTGGACACTCAGAGTTTTTCATGCAGTGTGATCCTGAAAATGGTCTCCTACACCTACCTCCTGCATTAGCTTCTGAAAGAAAACAGATGGTGGAACTCTAGGATTAGAAAAGCCTGATAGATCTACGTCACACTGGCAATTAAAGGTGCAGTATGTAAGAATATAGTGAGAATTTTACAGGGAGAAAATCCCAAGAGAAAAGTTATACTGAAACATACTTCATATTCGGCTGGCTGCGGGGATTGTCAGTTTTTCCCTATTAAAACAAAGGAAGGAGGGACGTAAACAGGGTCCGAAATTAACACTCGCCACTCGCCAAATGCGAATAAATTGCTCCATTTGGCGAGTACATTTTTGAGCTCTACCTGCCACCTGGCGAGTAAATGTTTGCACCAAATTAGTTATGTTTATCAGTCATCTTCCACGGATTTCTGATACTCCTCCCGCCTGCATGCAACGTACACAAACGTACGCGAAACGTGAACGCCGCATCCAACGTCATTTCCACCTATCCCATTCAATCAGTTTATCAAGTTAGCCGTTAGCTTCGTGTTAAAACTAGCGGTGAAATATGGCGGTTTTTAACTGGAGTCAGCCAGCCTTCCAAAAGAAAACTCGTCAAACTGGAAGAAAAACCACCAGGACCAGTGGCAACCAGAAGATTTTGTGAAAAGTGGCGAACTGGAGACGGCGGAGTCGTGAGACAGGCTACATTATGGTGGCCACGTAGCGTTGCTGCCTTTCACAGACAGCTGGCCCTCGGCATTCTTCAAATATCCAAAAGATGCCCGTACTTCCGACTTTGTCTTCTTTGAGGGATAATAAATGTCCCAAGTGCTGCCGTCTCCTCCTGCCATTATTTCAGCTTTAGCTTAAAGAAAGTTTTGGTCGTAAACAGCAAAGTGCGCATGTGCCGCCGGCAACTTCCAGCAGATGATATGGTGGCTGGTAAGGGTCACCGCGCCTACACCGCAGCCACGGTAATCCACCGAGATAATATATATATATATATATATATATATATATATATATATATATATATATATATATATATATATATATATATATATATATATTTAAACAAGACTGTTATTTATTGTCAACTTTTTTACCGGGGTTTACCGCTACACCGGTTACCGTGACAACCCTAGCCCTGACACACTTTCAGATATTCTCATGGTGAAGCTGTGTTCTACAGAGATCAAGGACTGTGACCCAAATGAGGCTGTAATGCTTTGGCACAAAGACGGTGTCAGAAGCAGGAGGCCAGACTTCATGGACTGAGAAAACAAGGAGTCTGACTAGATTTCAATGAAAGAGTTCATAAAAACATCTCTAAAAATAAATAAATAGTAAAAATGACAAAAGAGTTGTTTTCCTTATTAATTGATTTTTTAATTATTTTGTCACTCTGTTTGGAATCAACATAATATATAATTACATGTTTTAGGTGGATCTAAATCATTTAGAAATTTGGCCGGTAAAAAATATGCTTGGCCGGTAGATTTTCATCATCTACCGGCCAACTTGGCCGGTGAGTAAAAAATTTAATTTCGGACCCTGGACGTAAATACTGTTAACCATCAGTGAGTGTGAGGTTGCAGAGTCTCCTCAGAGCTAATGGGGAGCCTAAGTCACTTCCGCATCATGGGTCGCCGGAAGAACGAAAAAATGAATACAAGTCAACGGGGCTAAAAACGCTATTTTCTAATCCGCTTTGCCGTACGCTCTGGATCACACAGACGTTGTACTGCAATTGAAATGAAAAGTAATGATGGGTGTTTTGACCACGCCACTCACATACTTTGAGATTTATTAGCTTGTAAAAGTGCGTAATTAGCATGAGTACAAACCAGAAATCGGCACGTCGCATATGTGACGTCACCACGTAATCTCCTGTCCCCTAACATAGCTGCTACTTGCCACGTGACCAGATTTATGGTGGTTCTTTCCTCCTTTGGAAAGTTTGCTGAACTTACAGCCCTTTTCCCTCAGTTTTCTCCGTGTCTGGTTCGCTGACGTCACTTTCGTGAAGCGCATTTGTAGTTCTGGACTTATTTTCACACAAAACCTAAAATATTGTTCCCCCGTTTGAAAATAAGCGTGTTCTTGGTATGAAAATGCATCTTTAAAATTCACGGACATCATATGTGAAATTCATGGCACAAAACAAGCGGAATTAGAAAATAGCTTTTTTAGCCCCGTTGACTTACATTCGTTCATTTTTTCATTCTTCCCATGATGCGGAAGTGACTTAGGCTCCCTATACTGCAGCGCCTACGTTTGTAATTTGACGACGGCCAGCAAAAAGCTCCAGAGTTGTCTAAAGTGGTTACAGTAACCACATTTTGCCATAGGATGTCATTTAAACTCATTTCTACATAATGCACCTTTAACATTCATAGACTCACCCATCTTGACTCACGATGGGTAAGGCTGTTGTTGTTTTGGCATCCAGGAAACGGCAGAGAACGTCTCGGCCTGTGGAAGCTAACTGTTAGCATTAGCAACTCCACCACATGGCAGAACTCCTTCAGGCTTGTGTTACATCAACTTTTCAGAGCAAACTGACTTAGTGGTAGAGTGGTGTTGCTGTTGGTCAGTCAGAGGAGAGATGTCCAAATATCAGGAAATAAGACTCCAAATGCTGTTGTGTTCAGCTCAACTCTGATGTGGCTGAGGCTCACGTCTAGTTCCTGAAACGGGCGCACTGGAGCTTTTTTTCCCCCAAAGTATGACAACTAGAGACCACTTCAGATATCTTGATTAAATGAGTGAACTTTAGTTTTAACATCATGAAAGGATGAATAAAAAGATGAGACAAAAAACAGAAGATAACAGATATAATGACCACTAAGAAGGAAACATACCTGTTTTAACTGTTTTCATGAATCTTTGCGATTGAAAGGTTTCATTTCTCATCAGGCTCAGACTTGCTGAAGCTAACCAGGGAGGATGTTATTCAGATCTGTGGGCCAGCAGATGGTATAAGACTCTTCAATGCACTGAAAGGACGGTGGGTCATAATAAAATATGTTTTTCTCTTATTCGCTCCATAGATGATGCATGAGGTTAAAGGAATTCTGCCTTTTTGTTGTTTTTGTTGGGCTGCAGCGTGGTTCGTCCCAGGTTGACCATCTATGTTTGTCAGGAGTCTCAGCAAGCTCGGGAAGACCACCCCAAACATGAAAATGGAGAAGCTGCAGCCAGCACTTTTTTTGGTAAAAACGCACAAATACATACAAAAGGCATACAAAGAATCTTTTAAATTTAAAATCATTAAATTATTTTAGTTTACATTGAGGGGGTCAGATTGTCAACATCAATCAATCAAATGTTATTTATGTAGCGCCTTCTACTACCTTTGCGGAAGCCCAAGGCACTGAACATAACATGCCATAAAAATAACACAAAAGAACAGTCGGATAACAGGTAAAATCAATGGTTAAAAGGGCTAAAACAGAATAAAATGACATAAAACCAAATGATAAAAGTGAGTCTTCAGGCGACTTTAAACCTCCAGTGATGGCGACAGGTTCACAGCAAGCAGCAAGACATTCCACAGAGTAGGGGGCCATTAACTGAAAAACCCAATCCCCTCTGTTCTGCACCTCCATTACCGCTTCCGGTCGGCAACAAGATGGCGCCTGTGCTTGGCTTAGCCGCAGTCACCGGCCACTTTTTTAAACTTTTCTCCACTAACCTCCTCTTTTCCACCTTGCTCCTGTCTGCGATCCTCTTCAGTAGTGTCCCTGCTACCATCTCCTATGATCGCCAGACTCTTTTGTCCTTCCGTTCGTTCACGATCGCCCAAGATGCACCGAGGACGTACCTCCCTGTTTGTTTATCTGAGCGGCGCACTGGCCCGGAGCCAAACTACGGTCCCAAGCTGTGCACCTCCAACAATGTTTGTCCGGTCCCGTGGAAACGTCGGAGGAAAAGAGGTGAACGAGCAGGAATCCAGGTGAGAATAAGACTTCTCTTAAAGCGTGGTTTATCTGGTAAACATCGGCGCGATCTTCTAGCTTCTTGTCCTTTGTTTGGTGACCTGAGAGCCACTTCCGCATTCCCGCCAGGCCGCATTAGGACGCGGTTCATCCGTCCAAGTTTTTTAAGGTCGGTTTATCCTCATTCCTCAGTGGTCTCTCCTCCTGTTCCCTCCATAAGTGGTTTTTATAAACACCGTGGATCTAACCCCGCTAATTTACATCCACTAACTCCAGCTGTTTCTGTAGTTTCTGATTCCTCCACCTCACTCAGCATGGCTCTATTAAATACCTGCTCTGTTAACAATAAGTTCTTCCTGCTCAATGATCTAATTCTCTCTAAAAACCTGGATTTTCCGTTTCTGACTAAAGTTTGGCAGCAAACATCTGATTATTCTGCTCTGATTGAACTCTGCCCGAGTGGTTATTCTTTTCTTAGCCAGCCTCGGGGTTCTGGTCGTGGTGGAGACCTAGCTGTTGTTTTCAGAGACCGTCTTCCATATACCTCTACAACCTCTGGTCACTTTGCTTCCTTTGAACTGCAGCTGATTAAAGTCGGGCATAAGAACCCGTTCTACTGTGCTGTGGTCTATCGTCCACCTGCTCCAAACAGTTCTTTCCTTCAGGAGTTTAGAGACTTTCTATCCTCCACTGTGAAGCTGTCCAGACTGGTGATTGTTGGTGATTTTAACATCCACGTTGATGATCCCTCCGATCTCTTTGCCATGAATTTCTCCAGCCTTATGGACTCCTTCAGCTTTACCCAGCATGTTCCTGGCCCCACACACACCAGGGGGCACACACTAGACCTTGTTTTTACCCTGGGTCTAAATGCTGACAGTGTTTGTCCTGAGGACGTTTATATTTCAGATCACCATTGCATTTTCTTTAACTTGTCATTTTCTGCTTCCCCACCTCCTGCCCGCCGTATGGTTAGTTCTCGTTTTCTTAATGAGAGCACAGCTAGCAATTTTTCTGCTGCTTTTGATCCACCCTGTTCTTCTGATAACGACCCAGATTCCTTAACTTCTCAGTTCAACGAGCACTGCCTCTCCATTCTGGACAACATCTGTCCTGTCAGAACCAGATCAGTTCCTGCAGTGAACCCTACTCCCTGGTTTAACGACAGCCTTCGCAGCCTGAAGCGCCAATGCAGAAAAATTGAGCGTTTGTGGAAGAAAACCCATCTCCACGTCCATCTGCTGCATCTAAATGATCTTCTGACATCCTTTAACTCTGCAGTCAGAGACGCTAGGGTTTCCTATTTCTCCAACCTGGTGTCCCAGAGCAAAGGGAACCCCAAGGTGCTGTTTAACACCATCAGCAGCGTCGTCTCTCCTGCCACTCCTACAGCCTCCATCCACTCTGTTGCAGACTGTGAGAACTTTCTGTCTTTCTTTGTGGACAAAGTCAATAAGGTTAGATCTAGCATCTCTCCTTCAGCCTTATCGCTGCCTCTCCCGACTCCAGCCAGGCCCATCATCCTAGATAGCTTTGCTCCTGTTTCTTTGCCTGAGTTAACCAAACTAGTTAACTCTATGAAGACCTCTGCATGCCCCCTCCACATCTTACCCTCATCTTTGTTTAAAAGTGCTTTTCAGTCCATCGGTCCCAGCGTGCTCTCTATAATTAATGCTTCTCTGGTTTCTGGTCAGGTCCCTGCTTACTTTAAGCCCCATGAGATGTCTAAGCTGCAGCTGTTACACACCTGCTTAGACTCTATCAAAACCTGGATGGTGGGAGCTTTCTTCAGCTGAATGAAGATAAGACTGAGATCCTCATCTGTGCCCCAGACAAGCTGGTTCCCAAAGTCAGAGACTCTCTTGGTCAGCTTGCTTCCCACACCAAACCTTCTGTCAGGAATCTTGGTGTGACCTTTGACCCAGCTCTCACCCTGGATTCTCATGTCAGTTCTCTTGTTCGCTCTTCCTTCTTCCATCTCAGGAACGTTGCTAAGCTGAGTCCCATTCTGTCCCGCTCTGAACTTGAGACAGTTCTCCACACCTTCATCTCCTCACACTTAGACTACTGTAACTCTCTTTTCACGTGTCTGAGCAGAACCTCCCTGAACCGTCTACAGGTGGTTCAGAACGCCTGTGCTCGGCTTCTGACCAAGTCCTCCAAACACACCCACATCACCCCGCTTCTCCTCCAGCTTCACTGGCTGCCAGTCAACTTCAGGATTCGTTTCAAGATCCTGGTTCTGGTCTATAGGGCCTTACATGGACAAGCACCATCTTACATTGGTGATCTTCTTAGTCCCTACACACCCAGCAGGTCCCTGAGGTCCGGTGACCAAAGCCTACTGGTTGTGCAGCACCAGGCTAAAGACCAAAGGTGACAGATCATTTGCTGCTGTGGCCCCCAGACTCTGGACCTCTCTCCCCCTGAGCCTGAGATCAGTGGACTCAGTGGTCTCCTTTAAAAAGCAGCTGAAAACTCACTTGTTCAAGCTGGCTTTTGTATGACCTTCTTCACCACTCTCTCTTTATCCTGCTCTCCCCACCTATCCCACCTTCCTCAGGATCCACTGATTTCCCTCTTTCCTGTTCACTCTCTCTCTTTCTTAACATTTTTTCTTTTAAATCGCAATTGCCTATGGTTGCTCATTTTGTTAATATATTTTTAAACATTTTCGAAATGCTTTTTTACATTTTTACAATTTTTATATTTTTTGTTTTTGTGAAGCGCCTCGTGATTTTTATCTTGAGAGGCGATATAGAAATTATATTTCTTCTTCTTCTTCTACCTGTACCTGGCACATGGGACAGTCAACAACCCCTGATCAGCAGAGGGAAGAGACCAGGACAACATGCTGTTTCAACAAGGAACACAACCTTGTAAGAACTTATAGACCAGTGGTTCCCAACCTTTTTTCATGAGGACCCCCTTTCCTGTGTCCAAGATGAGCCATAGGCCCCAAACTCCTATCTGCATGCACACAATTTAAAGTATATAAATACAAATTTCATGCAGACATACAGAGTTATGCCTATTGCAGAGTTTTGATGGAACTGTTGGGTGTGTTATCTAGATTTTATACATGCATTTTTTACAAATATAATCTTGGTGCCCTCAGCACACACAGCATTTTTTATTTTTTCCCGTGTCCTGTCCGGCTGTGACCAAACAATTGATGTCTGATGCACACACTAAATTGTGGGGACCTCAGCTTGGAAACCACTGCAAAAGATTTTGAACTTAGCCCGATAACACTCAGGCAACCAATGTAAAGAGCATCATTAATATTAGAAAAAAGATGATTATAATTTATTTAGCTTTTTCTCATTTAATATCAGGCTTATTCATTTGTCTGTGCAATAATTTATAAGATTAATTTTTACATTTTATAAACCATTCTAGTACAACCTGCCTCTACCTGGCCTCTGATTGGCTTAGAGCCTGGCATGTTTACTCCAACATCTAAATCAAAATCCTAACAGGTACAGATTATCATAAATTTTTAGATTATAAACTGATTGTATCTGACTAGATTTTAGTTGGATTGGGAGGTTTAATCAGTGTGATTTGAGATTATATGAATTAGGTTTGATCATTTTGTCCCAATGTTTGCCATAAATTTGTTCAGGAAGCAAAAATAAGAACAGAAGTTTTGCATTGGTGGTGATTTTAGTGTGCAAAAACTTTTTATACGAGTAGAAATTGATCCAATTTCGGTGCAGAATAACAAGTCTCCATCATGTAGTGACGCCAAAGTCACTTTCCAGGCCTTAAAGGGACTTTACGGAGTTTTGAATTTTTATGCTCGCGATTGCCCCCTCAGGCTTAAAGCGTAACGGCAGCTTCAATAGTAGGCTCGTGCACGAGGCGCGCATGCTGTACGTGCACACTCCTTAACGAAAATAACAGCTGAGACAGTCCCGTGTGTGTGTGTGGCCTGGAGGACAGAGGACAGGAGAACGCACAGCTAATTAATTAAATAATTTGGTTCTGTACCTTTCTCTTCAGCACAGCCGACAAAGGTTTATGATGGGTCGGTCCTCCTGCATGCTCAGATCATTCCCTTCCCTTGCTTGAAAAATTGTTCCAAAATGAAAGTTGAACCCACATCTTTTTTATCTGTGAATTCAATGCCGTTCGGCGAGTCTCAAATAAAAATTTGGGCATCTTACCATAAAAAAATATATCATTAATGTAAAAAAAAGAAACTCTAAATAAACTATGTTCACATCCAGAGTCAAACCCGGGTCTTCAGCACGAGAGTCCGACGTCTTACTATGTGAGCTAAAGCACCAGTGACGTCTTCTTTATCTGTAATATTTATATCCTTGATGACCGCTGAAACAACGTTCAAAGAACGGTTCGGAGCGAAAATGGCTATTTTGTTGCTAATTTGCAGGAAATATCTAGAAGAAAGTAGCTAAGGGTCCTCAGAAATGTAGCTAGGTTCGTCACTAGGCGTTAGGAACAGCGACAAAGTCGCTGAGTTGGCACTGCCTCTCTCTCTGCTGCTAAAGCTACTGATAGCAAATGCTACGGGCTATGCCTGAGCGTGAACGCGCATGAAGCAGCCTGCTCGACCCGAGCATCTCTCTTTTTCTGTGATTTTACAGAAAAACAGGCAATCACAGTAAAAATGCCAGGGCTCATTCTACAGGACCAGGGCATTGCAGGAGAATGTATGAAGAAGAAATTTATTATTTCTATACATGTTTTGGCTGTCAAACTTCCATAATGCCCCTTTAATTAGCTTTTTTCTGCATCCATTCCCTCATTTTAAAATCAGCTGCTGCTGCCCTAAGCTGCAAATGTACAAATATGGATAAAACTTAAACTTCTGTTAAATAAAGATACGCACAAAGGACAGTCAAATAAACCAAAAAATTTCCTTTAAATAATTCTGTTGTGGTTCAACAGAATAATTTAAAGCTGTTATAGCGAATCTGCAAACAAGCTAAGTTTGAATGCAAACACGGTCACGAAACACTCACCTTTCCTCTCGGGTATCTTCCCTGAGACGCTTCTGCCAGAACCAGAAACTGCATTGCCAGAGACAACGGGAGGGCGCTAAACACCAGCCGTTTTTTTCTAGGTCCAAACATCTTTTGTTGTCCGTGACTTCTAACCCCGGTTTCACACTGAAAGCATCAGTGATGCGGAACGGCAGGGGAACGGTGCTGTTTCAAATAGAATCCATTTTAGTCTACGGGGTGTTTCAAACCAGCAGCGATGCGACAATTTCCAGGCGCGTCCCAGAAGCGGCACGCCGCGCCACTAAAGATAGGATCGGGTTCTATTTTTGCCGCGTGCCGCTCCTGGGATGCCTCAATTTTCGCAGTTAACATATGACTAGACAGGAAATCGCACACAGTTTCAGTGTGAAACCACCGGTAAATTAAAAAATAAAAGTACTGCAGCGATGCAGTTTCAAATATACGTAGCTTACGTGCGACCCAACGACTTCTTTACTCACAGCATCGTTCCAGAAGTGCAGCGGTGTGTTTTCATGGCTTTAGTCTTGGCAGTGGAGAGGAACAACATCCTATATGATATCAAACAGCGATATCAAATGTGATTTCTTTCATTTTGGTTTAATGGCGGATTGCATAAACAAACTGTGACCTGAAGTCTCGAGGGATCTTGCGAGTCCAGCGAAGAGCACAGCAATAAAGCCGTGCCGCTGCCAAGTCTCTCCCGATGTGAAAAGGACCGCTTTGAAGTTTGCTGCCGTTTCGTGCCGCTGATGCTTCCAGTGTGAAACCGGCGTAAAGTTGTTTTTCTTTTTGGGACTCTGGTAGTTTGTCCTTAAGTTGAAGTGGTAGCAGCCGGCTGTTTCTCCTCCTCTGATATTAATGAGCAGAGAACCTCTCACACCAGTGGTGTTCTGTTGCTTAATATGCAAGTGTGTGATGAGTGGATGAGCCAGTGAGGTGCGGCTGTTGGGCGGGACCGACAGCCGGATGAGACCATTGTTGGTTTTGGTTCAACACGTGTTTTTGGCAGAGGTTTTTGGACAAGTGCAAGTGAACCACTTTATACTGTATACTACATTTATAGCTATGCTATGTAAGAATTTTGTTAAGAGGCATTAAAGAAAGGTTTTAAGCTAATTTGTTTTGGTGAACGAAATTAACTAATCTGGCCGGGACCACGTGGGGGTTCCACTAAACAGATTAAAGCTGATGGGACCTTAGGGACTTGTTACACTCAGGTGTGTCCTGTAAGCAGCATCACAGGTGTCTCCAGTCTGGTCGTCAGTCAGTTTGGTTGTTTAAGGGCTGTAAGGTAGTCACAGTGCTGTTTGGTTTCAGGGTGTCTGTCAGGACAGAGTTGCCTTCGGATATTAGAAACAGTATCGTTGATGTTTATCGTAGCATGACAGAGGTAATGGCTAGAAGACCATCTGCAGTCAGCTAAAGGCTACAAGACCATCTCAGAGCAGCTGGATTTTCCACTTGACTCAAGTTGTCTTATGGGCTCGACACACGGGAGGCGACATCGCCTCTCCATTCATTTTCAATGAGACATGCGCGACAAAGCGATAATCGCGGGTCTCCCTCCTACCAAGCGAAACGCGAAAAACGTGCGTGTGAAATTTTGCGCTCGTGCACGTGTCGTGCACAGGCGACCCAGCGACGCGATCCCAGAAAGTTGAAACATTTTCAACTTTTCATCGCTGTCGCTCGGACGAGGACCAATCAACGGAGGTTTCATTCACTGACCAATGAGCGGACAGGATGCTCCGCACATCTCCGAGCAAACATGGAGGAGAAGTTGATTATTATTATGTTTTATATAGTAAAATCAGAAGTAAGATTTCACATAACTCTAGCAGCACCTTGTGAAACATCTGAACCACTTAAATAACCTTAATTCCCTCCAACCTGACACGGCCAAGCTAAACAACGGAAGTTTCAATTTCGCCATGGAACAGAACGCGTAGACGGCTTTGTCGCTGGCCGCTGCCGCGGATCGCCTCCCGTGTGTCAGGTAATAAAAGCGACAGCGACAAATTTCGCTGATCGCGGTCATTTGTCGCCTCCCGTGTGTCGAGCCCATAACTCAGAAGTGTAAGACCCACTGGACTGCAGCCACCCTTTGTGGTCGAGGGCTGGGTGATGCAAATAGGAACCAAGAGCTCAGAACACCTTCCCAAGAGATTAGAGGTGAATCCAAGGTCAAGATATACCGGTGTCGGTGTTTGTGCCAAAGTGGACCTCATGGGAGATCACTGCGTAGGACAGCGCTGTTGATGGCAAATCCTAAAAAGACAGACTGGTGTTTGACCAAATGCATGTCACCTGATCTGTTTGTTATTGGACACAAACATGAAGCATGATAGCAACACCCAGAGGAGGCTCGGGTCTGTTCTGGTGCTGCTCTGCTACATCTGGACCATGATGGCTTGAGTCTGAAGTCTTGGGACTGGTGCTAAATGTTTCCCAGTGTCAGAAAGCCTGGTCTCAGTGAAAACACACAGCTAGAACCAAACCAGAACCAAACGGCACACATTGGGCTGTTCTGAAGCGGTCCCTTCTCACCCGAGACAGCTGCTCACGAGGAGTGGAGCAGAACACAGACATGAGTGATGTTTCAGTTCTCATATACACACAGCATGAAATTGATGTCCTGCTACTGTTTACTGTTCCTCTGCAGTATATCACGCCATCTACCTGGAGGAACTCACAGCTATTGAGTTTACAGAGAAGCTCGCACAGCTCTTCAATATCTCACCCAGACAGATACACCAGATCTTTAAACAGGGTCCCACTGGCATCCACGTACTGGTTAGTGATGAGGTAGGATACTCAGCCCACTCATTCGCTGTGGCATAATTAATCAATCATGGTTATTCTTCATTCATTCTTTATTTTCTTGTCCACAGATGATCCAGAATTTCCAGGATGAAGTTTGTTTTGTTTTGGACACAATGAAAGGTTGTGAGAAGTAGCTGTAATAAAGTGTTTTGTTGTCTATACTTTGCTTTATTTTTTAAATCGGCCTTGTTCTTGTCTCTCCAGATGACACGAGCGATGGATACCACATCATCTTAAAGTGAACACATGGCTTTAGACAAGCCAGGCCTTGTTTCCTTGTGTGGACCTTCTGCAGTTTGCCCTTCTAGAGCTTCATCATTCTTCCTGCTTTAGGAAATCCGGAGATGAACTGAATTACTCTTTGTGGCAGCTAGAAGGACCCGGGTAAAACACGCCATGGATGTCCTCGCTATACTCCGTTGTCTTACTATAAGGAAGTGACCCTGTACCCATAGTGATGTTCCAGTCTCCTTTTGGCCCTGCCATCACCTCTCATGTTTTAGCTTTGTCTTCTGTTGCTTTTGCATTGAGAAGAGGTTAATGGTGCTGTTGCCAGCTGAGCAGCTGGTGTGCCAAAGCTTTGAGCTTTTAAACCAGCCGTGTTTTGTTAAGAAAAACGCGAGATGGCTACATTCACAGCTCTATTAGGGTTAGGGTGGACCAGACCTAACCCTAACCCGAACCCTTGCTATTTTCAGTTGGCAATTCAGCGTAACCATCATGGAGATAGATTTATACGAGAAAAGCCTAACATCGGGGAAGCTGCTGGAATCAAGCTGTCCTTCCACACACTAGCGATTCATGTAAAGCTGACTCTTGTGACCCCACAGCTTGTGTAGACCACATTGTGGCACATGGGATTGAAACATGACAGAAACTGTTTGAATTAATAGTGACTTGTCTGATATCATCAGCATACTGTCTTCATGTGTCCCAAACCCGTCGCTTTATTTAGCACATCAGCATTTCATTGTAAGTTTCTGTTTAAAAGGGCTTTTATGACGTATTTTCTTTGCCAGCATTTTTCAATGTTCTTTTTATTATACTTGCATCTCTTCATTGATGTTTTGGATGTTATTACGTCCTCATACTAATAAGTGTTTTGGGCATGTTGGAGGTTCATGTCAAAAGGTATGAGTGGGTAAAATTCTGTTCTTTCTACATGAAAATGATAGTTTGGTATTTTAGACGTCTGTTTTTGCTTCGTCTCATCACCGTCATTAAAATACTTACCAATGTACTGGCAGCTGTTTGTTTCCTTCCAGTGCTCCTTGAAGGAACGTCTGATGTTTAAAGTCTTGATGAGAACGAGGTTTGAAAATGCAGGATCTTGTTGCAAGAGATCATGCTAAATCCGAAATCCAGACATTTGTAGATATTTTCATTCAAGCTCATCCAGTGGGTTCGAGAAGTTTTGCCAACAGGGCTGAATTCCATCAGTTAACGGGAACCCGACGTATGTGTTGAGGATAATTCTCACCTACAACGATGCTTGATTTTAGCTCAGTGACTAAAACTGGATGAGTTAGACATTTCTGTTTGCTAAAGGCAGTAGAATGGAGCAGTGATGGAACAGATGCATTCTGGGTAAGTGGAACCTGTAATTTGCTGAAATAGAACGAGTTTCAGCTCCATTACCACAAAGTGGGGATTGTTTTATGGTGCCTCTTTTAAAATGTGGGTTAAGATATTTTTGTGAATGATGAAAACCTGTCTGGAGTCAACTAGAAGGCCCCATGTCCCTGTTTTAATGAGGTGTTACTGATTAATCCCTGATAGCTGGATTATAAATCCACTCGGTCATAAACACCATCACCCATCTTGTGCCTTTTGTGGTGAGTGATGGTTGTTGCCTGACAGCAAAAACAAAACAAGGTAGAACTATTTTATTTGCATCATTTAGAAGACTGAGTTGCTAATTGACCTGTCAATTTGTTGCCACGGAGACGGATATGTTGGCGAAAGTGTCGCATTGTAAACCATTTGAACGTAAGCGAGCGCTTTGTTTTTTTATTGTCTGCTTCTTCATAACCCACCAATGAATCCCAAACACTTCATTTCCCAGCGTGCCTCGGCGCAGGACTAGCTCATGATGTCACAATAAGTATATATGGGGCTGCAGGGAAATTTTTCTTCCTCCATTGTTACATTGTAACAAACGGGGCCGGGGCGGACCGCGGAGAAAAAAAGCGTCTTCTCGTTACAACCCCCCCAACTAACGACACCAACCGACCGGAACAGAACCGGTCCGCGTTTGCATTGCGAGAAGACAGCGAGGAAAGCCCAGCCGACCGAACCCGCCCCGGAGAGCACAGAGAGAGACAAGAGGAGGACAACACGAACACTAATGTCAGCGTATTTCTGTATTACAGTCATTAAACGCCTCACTCGAACGGGGTAACACCTTCGGCTGGGAACAACGTTCACGCTGCACCGAACCGAACATGCTGGGAAACGAACCCCGGCGAGCCGCCTGACGTCCCTCCGTCTTCCTGCCCTTTAAATAGAGAGGTATGCAAGGTTTAAAGGAAAGCCGCCGGGTCTGCCACGAACCTCGTTTCTTCTCCAAAAGCTTTCTCCGTGCAGAACAATAAGCTCACAGCCTATTGGCCTCATAACCGCAGATCGAAGAGTTTGCAAAACGACAATCAAGTGTCAGACTCCGGTCTGGTCTCCGGCTGTGGTCCTGGGACACATCGGTGCTGGCTTCAGACAAAGCGTCTCACCACCGGGGGCAGAGATTGATGTGGGAAGAGAAACGACCTCCGAGCCGGCAGGATTGAGGGTCCCTGTTCCTGCCCAGGTAAGCAGGTGTGTGTGTGTGTGTGTGTGTGTGTGTGTGTGTGTGTGTGTGTGTGTGTGTGTGTGTGTGTGTGTGTGTGTGTGTGTGTGTGTGTGTGTGTGTGTGTGTGTGTGTGTGTGTGTGTGATGAGAGAGTAAATCGGGTGAGCTGTCTGAATGGAGAGGGTGACCGAGCCCCCCCCCCCCCCCCCCCCCCCCCCCCCCACACACACACACACACACACCATGATGACCACGGCTGTCCCTGTTGGCTGGCAGAGATCTTCTCATAGAGGAACATACAGTATGTCCCATCTCTTTTAAACTGGACTTACTTCTGGTCTCACTCCAGCATCTGCAGAGCGAGATCCTCCTCAGGTGTACCACAGGCTTTAAAGGAGCCAAATCAGAAAATCTACTTCCTGGAGCTTTTAATTCAATTCAATTCAAGTTTATTTATATAGCACCAAATCACGACAGGAGTCGTCTCAAGGCACTTCACATAATAAACATTCCAATTCAGGTCAGTTCATTAAGCCAATCAGAAATAACGTTTCCCATATAAGGAACCCAGCAAATTGCATCAAGTCACTGACTAGTGTCAGTGACTTTACAGCAATCCTCATACTAAGCAAGCATAAAGCGAGCGGGGAAAACTCCCTTTTAACAGGAAGAAACCTCCAGAGAATCCTGGCTCAGTATAAGCAGCCATCCTCCACGACTCACTGGCGATCGAGAAGACAGAGCAGGCACACACGCACGCACACACACGCACGCACACACACACACACACGCACACACACACACACACACACACAGACAAGTAATGTGTCTATAGTTATATTGTGATGTCTTAGTAAATATTCTATTTGGTGAAAGATAAACTTTATTGTATTTATCCTAGTGAATCTATAGTTAAACGGGTAAACTAGTAGTAGCACATCCAACGTCAAGGAAAGCAAAAAGTTATTATCAGGAGAGGGAGAATGTTTTAGTGGTTAGCAGCAGTGTGTTAGACGGTGGCCCCCTCCATGAGGCCACCACAGCTCGGCAGGACATCGTTGTAGCTTCTTCTGGGGAGAAAAACACTTAGAGAGAAAATAAAGTTACCAGCTGAAATAGCTTTTACCATGTGTTATTGTCATGTCCTCACGAGAAATACCACCGAACCCTTTTTTGGCAGCGTTCATGCATTTTCCTGCCTCAGCTTCAGTTTGGTCGATGTAAAGTTATGTCCTGCATCCAGGAGAAAGTAGCCCCCCTGCAGGCACTTGTCCTCCACCTGACAATAAGCTGGTCTCAGTTCTGAAACCTGGATATTCTGACAAATAACTAGAAGCCGACCGATATGTTTTTTTTTTATAATGCCGATAACGAATTTTAAAGAATTTTCTTGCCGAAGGCCGATTTTACACGTTTTAGCAGCACATTGATTGTGAAAGACAACTGAACACTCAGTGTGTGCCATATAAATTAAATAAGTCAATAAATCTCTTAAATTGATTGAACTTCAAATATTAAACAAACTGAAAACATAAAAAAAGGTGTGTTGGGGTCCTTTCTTCAGTCTAGTAGTGGCGGCAGTTGGCCACACAGGTGCCTAATTATTTAAATTTAAATTTTTTTTCGGCTTTTAAAATTTACTTTGGCCAATATAGAAAAAAATTTGATAAATCAGCCCGACGTATCGGTCACCATCTACAAATAACTTCTGCACTGGGGACAAAACAGTGCTGTAAAAACATACGTCCTGTCTACACATGGTAAATGGCCTGTATTTGATATACCGCCTTCTAGAGTCCTGGAGTCCCCCAAGGTGCTATACAACACAATCAGTCATTCACCCATTCACAAACACATTCACACGCTGGTGGGGATGAGCTACTTTGTAGCCACAGCTGCCCTGGGAGACTCTGACCGAGGCGAGTCTGCAATACACAGGCACCGCCGGTCCCTCCTACCACCACCAGCAGGCAAGGTGGGCTAAGTGTTTAGCCCAAGGACACAACGACAGTGACAGACTGAGCGGGGCTCGAACCCGCAACCTTCCGATTAGCGTCCTGTGCCACTGTTGCCCTGTCACATAATGGTCAGCACAGGATATGTAACAGTTTTGTCTGTTTGGTAGTCCAGTGGTTAGCGTGCTGGGCTAAGCGCCTAAACCGCTGGACTACCAAGGCCAATACAACAGCAAGCTTGTCTAAGCAACCTTTCTCAGTGGCCTAGTGGTAGAGTGTCCGCCCTGAGACTGGGAGATCAGGGGTTCGATTCCTAGTCGGGGCATACCAAAGACTTTGAAAAAAATGGGACCCAATGCCTCCCTGCTTGACACTCAGCATTAAGAGGTTGGATTGGGGGGTTAAGCCACCAAATAGTTCCCGAGCGCTGCTTGTCTGCAGCTCACCGCTCCCCCAGGGGATGGGTCAAATGCGGAGAATAAATTTCGCACACACACCTGTGTGTGTGACAACTAATGGGACTTTAACTTTAAGATGGTCCGCCCTAGTCTCTAACTTACGAGCAGTTCCCTCTCGGCCAAGCAAAGAGCTCAGGAGGGAGCATGCCTATGCAGTAGATTGGGAAGGTAAGGTGGGTGGGCCCATTCCCTGAATGATTCCTTGAGCAGGTGTGTTTGGCCAGAGCGAGCGTGGGCGGAGCTTTGCTGAAACAGACCATTTTATTTCCGTGTTTAAATTCAGGCTGACAAAAATAACTCGTATTTAAGGTAAATGACATCTCAATAGTGCCAACGGTAATATTTTATAATATATTGTGCCTACCTTTGCTCTTAAATGCTTAAAATAGCATGACGTGGAACCTTTAAGATCCTCCAAAGGTGTACCACGGTAGTGAGAACCTCCATCACTTCTACTTTAAGGATATACACGCACATGCACACACGCCACCCCCACCAACAGCAAAGCATTATTTTTAGTCCTAATTTATGTTTCTCAGAGTCTAGTGAGTATTTGCTGTGTTGGGGATAAAACCCATATTGCACATTAATTCATCCATTTGAAATAATGACATACATGAAAAACAGTTCATCACAATTGGAAAAACCTGATTGAGCTTTTTAATTATAAGTTTAATATTAAACGTTTGCTCATTGGCTACTTCATTGGCCAGGTTGGGCTCCTTTACCTCAGATGTTCTGGTCCATTCTGACATGACACCGTTAACTCCATCCATGATGAGAACTTCCTGTTCCACCACATCCCAAAGGTTCTGGACTGGACTGAGATCTGGTAATTGTGGAGCCCAGTGGAGTCCAGTGAACTCATGGTCATGTTCTAGAAACCAGTTAGAAATGATCTGAGCTTTGTGGTCATGGTCAGCAGCAATACTCAGGTGGACTGTGGCTCGTCTGGTACCAACAACCACGACATGTTCAAAGTTTCTGCTCCATCCTGATGCTCAGTTTGAAGTCCAGTGAGTCATCTTCACCACATCTAGTGGGTTAGGTGTGATTGGCTGGTTAGCTTGTTGTGTTAATAAGCAGTAGAACGGGTGTACCCAATAAATTGGCCGATGATTGCATACAGGCGGTGTGTTGGGGCTCTAATCCGAACCGGGTGAGTTAATGCCACAGAGATCACTTTCTTCAAGGCTGCTCGCATAAACCATGCTTGCGCAGTTGTCATGGTTACGTCTCTGGACTTGATCATTTCAAAATAGCATTTCATGAGAGCTGTTCAGGTTGGGGGGAGTGCAGACAGAGAGAGTGATGGAGGAGGAATACAGATGAAAGGAGACAGGACTGCACAGATGCCACCTTTCTGTTTCTATGGCGATGTTAGGAACTGACCTCACATGGGAACTCTTTGATATAAATGACTCAAAAATAACAAGAGCATTATTTAAAGCAGTTTTTATTGTGATGAAACCCCACACAGACTTTTTCCTCGTGGCTCGACCTGTGCTGCTGCTGCTGTGGTGTCCTCAGACAGCGGGTTTCCATGGAGGCAGGTTCGTCCCTAAGCCTCAAACGAAGATATGAAGAGGTGGACAACAGCTCTATATTCTCCACGCCTAAAGACTCTGACGATGACATCTCCAGCAGCGACAGCGCTGACAGCTGTGACAGCCTCAACCCCCCTTCCAGCACCACGTTCACCCGTAAGTAACAACAGAACAGACTCGATAAACTCGGATCAGGTCGCCGCCACGAGGATCTGGTTATTCACTCTTCCCTCCGCTCTCCCCGTCAGCCACCTCCATCCTGAGACAGCACAAGCCGTCACCGGGGGGGAAGCGGGTGCGTTTCGACATGGTGACGGTGTATTACTTCCCGCGGCGGCAGGGCTTCACCAGCGTGCCCAGCCAGGGCGGCAGCTCCCTGGGCATGGCCCGTCACCACTCGTCCATCAGACACTACACGCTGGGTGAGTTCGCACGCGAGCAGGAGAGCAGCCACCGACACACTCTACGCCAACACCTGCGCCAGGAGAAGCTCAATGCACGCAAGATGAAGGTCAGTCAAGGTGCTTGATCTTATCTCTTGACCCTTGAAGGGGTCAGACCCATGCTAGAATGCAGAAAGCCTCCTTACAGTATCGCTCTGTTAAACACTAATGCGTTTGTTATTATTTAATAATAAACACATGTAATAGGTTTATATCGTTATTAGGGATGGGTACCGAATTCGGTACTTTTTAAGGTACCAACCGAATTCCATAGTACCGACCAAGCACCTATTCACTTCATTTGAAACGGTGCCTCGTTTCGGTACCCGTCCTTCACAACGAGAACTTGCCTAGACAGCTGCACATGCGCAAGAGCGTTATGTCGTCGGTCGCTGCGAGCCAGTTGTAAACAGAGCAGCATGGTAGAAAGAACGCACGCTAAAGCTTGGGTCCACTTCACTAAATGTGATGGGTGACAACGATCTAAGTGAGACATCCTCATCTTAATCTGCTCCGGTAGGTTTAAGATAACGTTAGCTTGATATGTTAGCTTCCGTTTTGCTAATGTTACGTTCGCTTTCTCCTCGGAACTCCGAATTTCCGACTAGAACATGAACGCGCTCTAAAGTTTGGCTTCACTTTACTAAATGCGACGGGTGATTGGGTGAAGATGAAACCAGCGACAACGATCTAAGTGTGAGGCATCATAGTTTTAATCTGCTCCAGCAGTTAAATAAACTGTTTAAGATAACGTTAGCTTGATATGTTAGCTTCCTATGCCACCATTGTTATCAGCTAATGGTGCGTTTGCTTTCTCCTCAGAAATTCTAACTTCCCAGTAGGAAAAATCAAATGAAAAAGGACGGCAAAAGGAATGAAGATACACAGTAAATTTAGTTCACAGTAAAGATGTTTGCTTCAGTTTAATTATCAGCTTATAAAACTACAAGGACGATGTTAAAATACAAACAGTTGAATGTTATTTATCGTGATATTTATCAAATATGGTTATATCTTGAGAAAAATATATATTCAATTATAAAAGAATTAAAAATATTAAACACTTAAAAGTATTGAAAATTGGTATCGTTAAGTACCGGTATCGATTCGTAGGTACCGGGAATTAGTACCGGATCGATTCAAATGTCAGAGGTACCCATCCCTAATGTTATTCAACAGTGGCATAACCAAAATTCATTTTAAATGATGAAACATACTTAGTATGTTGTTTCCAATTCAGTTGCTCAGAGGTTGTGATAAAGCCAAAGGCCATCGTTTCACAGCACGAGATGGTCTTAGTTTAACGCTGACATGAAACCAGGTGGATGAGACCAATTCCTTTAAGGAATTCTTGGCTTTTACCTTCCTCAAATTATTTCAGTAACAAGGAATGAAACCTAATGGAGGTTTTCTCTTCCTACTCTTTTTTTCCCCAAACATGTTGTCACAGTTTATAAATTCTCCATGCTTGGTGTACTGGAGCCAGGACAGAGCTGCAGACAGACCAGTTCAGTACCTGTAGCCAGACTTCTACTGGACGCCAATTTGCATCGTGCTGCTGAAAATGTATGAATTTATTGTGAACGTCAGTGCGCTTCCCTGCGTTAATTCCAACCATAACAATACAGCCCCACATCGTTACAGAACCTGGCCTGTAGCTGGGCATCCGCGGCACAAGCAGCTGAACAGTTTGACCACATTATTTAACGTCACAAAGAAGTTAGCATTGTCTAAAAAATCTGACTCTTAAATTTTCTGGATTTTCTAAAGGCTACGTTTACAGAGATAGAGTTTTTACTTGTTATTTTTTTAAATATGGTGGGTCACTGAGTTTCACATGCAGGCTAAATGTGAAACTAGCCTTCTACCCCTATTTCCTGCATTAGCTGCCAATAGGAAATAGATGGGGAAATGCTCGAATTATAAAAACTTGTCAATTTTTACGTCACACTGAAAATTAACATTCATGGACTTGACCATCATGACGCACGATGGGGAAGTCTGTTGTTGGCAAGGACGTAATTTTTTGGGGGGGGGGGGCATGTCCCCCCCCACTTTTTCCATAGTCAAGTTTTGACCCCTTCACTTTTTACCATCCAAAAACAATATTACTGTCATTAACCAAACTCAGAAGACCTGTAATGACGCCAAACACAGTAAAATTATATAAAAAATATCTTTCATTTTTTGTGGAGTTACCCGAGGTGGGAGAGGCTGGAGACCGAGTCGGAGACAGGCGGAGGTCGAAAAGGCAGGCAGCATACAAGGCAGGGGTCAGGAGAGAAAAACGAGGTCCGGAGGCTGAGGTCAGGCAGGGTGAATAGCTGGAAGATCTACTGGCACAAAGTTTTCAATAATCTGGCAGGGAACTGGTGGCTGACTGGTGAATATATAGCAGGGGGAGCAGGTGAAGTGGATGAAGCTGATTACAGGAGCAGGTGAGATGAATGGAGTTGATTATGATGCTGACTGAGGTTGCTAGGGAAAACAGGGCTTGGCAGGAGCTTGGTGAGGGGACCCGGTGAGCTGAATGAAGAGGCAGAGGAGGGTGAAGGATAGGAAGTCATGACAATTACGCTATATTAAATTGACACTGGTTGAGCTCTAGGACCAAGCAGAAAACAACCGTTTGTGTTGAAGCCTGTTTCTCATTAGAACATACTGTAAAGATACCCCCCCCCCCCCCCCCCCCCCCCTCCCCCCACTTCTAAAGTGATAATAACGTCCATGGTTGTTGGTTTAGAGTTCAGGAAACAGCAGAACGTCTCAGCTGGTAGAAGCTAATCATTAGCATTAGCAACTCCACCACACAGCAGAACTCTTTTAGGCTTGTGTTGTTTGTGGAAATAAAACATCAATGTCACAGAGCAAATAGAGTCAGTGGTAGAGTTGTGTTGCTGTTATCCAATCAGAGTTGAGATGTCCAAATACCAGGAAATAAAACTCCAAATCCTGCCATGTTCAGCTCTCCTCTGCTCTGGCTTACTTCTAGCTCCTGAAACAGGAGGTCGACTCACAAGACATTAATTTATAATAGAGACCACTGCAGATGGGTTGAAAAAACAAGTGAACGTGGTCTTTAAAGGGTTTGATGATGTCTACTGCTGAAGGGGAAACATATCGATCATCACGCTGACTGGTGGCAGCATGATGCCTTTCTCTTTCAGCTTCCACTTTGGGATAATTATCTAACAGGTTGCTCATCCCACCTGGCTGCTGAGGTATTACTAAACTCACCCAATGATGGGTAACATGACATTAGGTTAGGGGAGATCACTGGTGTTGCTTGCCAGTGCTGTTGTTGATGTCATCAGCTCAGTTGTTGCTAGGATACAAACACGACACCCCAGAGCATTCATGGTGATGTCTGCAAACTTCCATCTAACGTCCCACACTTTCAGTCCTCAATGGATGAAACTGGAACAGTATTCTGAGTCTGACTTTATCACTTTGTTGACTTTCAGTTGCTGCAGCGCAAAGTTTGATCAATGTGGTCCAAGTTTAAAATGCAGGAATGGGTGTAAAATAAAAATAAATTAATAACAAATAAAAAAGAAAGAGAAGCTGCCTACAACAGAATAAAACTCGCACGAGCATCATGTTTCTGCATTTTAATATAGTCACAACGTGTTCCCTCATTCTAAAATGTTTAGCTTTAGTTTGACATATTAAATGCATCTTTTTTCATTTGTTCAAATAATTTAATTTAGAATACATTTTGAGTTAAACACTATAAAGTTGATTAAATATATTTCTTGAGCTCCTTCACATCAGAGCCTTAAGTAGTCTTTTCTGTCCTCCACTCATTTGTTCACACTCATTCACAGCTCACAAGAAACGGGACAGTGGAGTGTGCTCAGGCAGACCTGCTTACGCTGGAGGACGTATCAGACGAGGACCTGGATGTGGACGCCGTGGAGGTGGACGACTGCTTCTTCCTTCAGCCGCTGCCCACGAAGCGACGCCGAGCCCTGCTGCGAGCCTCTGGCATCGCCCGAATCGATGCGCGTGAGAAAGCCGAGCTCAGGGCCATCCGCCTCTCCAGGGAGGAATGCGGCTGTGATTGCCGTTTGTACTGTGACCCCCGCCACTGCGGCTGCAGCCAGGCGGGTATCAAGTGCCAGGTAATTGATTGGACTGTGCTGTTTCAGTGTAGGCTGGCTCAGATTGTTGAATATTTGGGATCTGTTGTTTAAATCATCCCAGACTCTTCCTGCTGTACACATGAAAATATTCCTAGTCTGACTATTTCATTCTAAAAAAAACTCCAAACTAAAGCTTCTTTCTTCAGTTCAATTATTATGAAAGACCCAAACGGTCTATAGAGGTTTAACGGTTAGTAAAGCCCTGTGGCTATGGTGAAGACGTCTCTGCAGGGTGAAGACGTCTGCAAGGTGAAGACGTCTGCAAGGTGAAGATGTCCGCAAGGTGAAGACGTCTCTGCAAAGCGAAGACTTCTTTGCAAGGCGAAGATGTCTCTGCAAGATGAAGACATATGCAAGGTGAAGATGTCTGCAAGGTGAAGACGTCTCTGCAGGGTGAAGATGTCTCTGCAAGATGAAGACATCTGCAAGGTGAAGACGTCTGCAAGGTGAAGACGTCTCTGCAAGGCGAAGATGTCTCTGCAAGATGAAGACATCTGCAAGGTGAAGACGTCTGCAAGGTGAAGACGTCTCTGTAAGGTGAAGATGTCCGCAAGGGGAAGACGTCTGCAAGGTGAAGACGTCTCTGCAAGGCGAAGATGTCTCTGTAAGGTGAAGACGTCTCTGCAAGGTGAAGATGTCTGCAAGGCGAAGATGTCTCTGCAAGGTGAAGACGTCTCTGCAAGGTGAAGACGTCTCTGCAGGGTGAAGACGTCTCTGTAAGGTGAAGACGTCTCTGCAAGGTGAAGACGTCTCTGCAAGGTGAAGACATCTGCAAGGCGAAGACGTCTTTGCAAGGTGAAGATGTCTGCAAGGTGAAGACGTCTCTGCAAGGTGAAGACATCTGCAAGGCGAAGACGTCTTTGCAAGGTGAAGATGTCTGCAAGGCGAATATGTCTCTGCAAGGTGAAGACGTCTCTGCAAGGTGAAGACGTCTCTGCAAGGTGAAGACATCTGCAAGGCGAAGACGTCTTTGCAAGGTGAAGATGTCTGCAAGGTGAAGACGTCTCTGCAAGGTGAAGACATCTGCAAGGCGAAGACGTCTTTGCAAGGTGAAGATGTCTGCAAGGCGAAGACGTCTCTGCAGGGTGAAGATGTCTCTGTAAGGTGAAGACGTCTCTGCAAGGTGAAGACGTCTCTGCAAGGTGAAGACATCTGCAAGGCGAAGACGTCTTTGCAAGGTGAAGATGTCTGCAAGGTGAAGACGTCTCTGCAAGGTGAAGACATCTGCAAGGCGAAGACGTCTTTGCAAGGTGAAGATGTCTGCAAGGCGAATATGTCTCTGCAAGGTGAAGACATCTGCAAGGCGAAGACGTCTTTGCAAGGCGAAGACGTCTCTGCAAGGTGAAGATGTCTCTGCAAGGTGAAGACGTCTCTGCAGGGTGAAGATGTCTGCAAGGCGAATATGTCTCTGTAAGGTGAAGACGTCTCTGTAAGGTGAAGATGTCCGCAAGGGGAGAACGTCTGCAAGGTGAAGACATCTCTGCAAGGTGAAGATGTCTGCAAGGCGAATATGTCTCTGTAAGGTGAAGACGTCTCTGCAAGGTGAAGATGTCTGCAAGGCAAAGATGTCTCTGCAAGGTGAAGATGTCTGCAAGGCGAAGATGTCTCTGCAAGGTGAAGACATCTGCAAGGCGAAGACGTCTTTGCAAGGTGAAGACGTCTCTGCAAGGTGAAGATGTCTCTGCAAGGCAAAGATGTCTCTGCAAGGTGAAGATGTCTGCAAGGCGAATATGTCTCTGCAAGGTGAAGACATCTGCAAGGCGAAGACGTCTTTGCAAGGCGAAGACGTCTCTGCAAGGTGAAGATGTCTCTGCAAGGTGAAGACGTCTCTGCAGGGTGAAGATGTCTCTGTAAGGTGAAGATGTCTGCAAGGCGAATATGTCTCTGCAAGGCGAAGATGTCTCTGTAAGGTGAAGACGTCTCTGCAAGGTGAAGATGTCTGCAAGGCAAAGATGTCTCTGCAAGGTGAAGATGTCTGCAAGGCGAAGATGTCTCTGCAAGGTGAAGACTGCAAGGCGAAGACGTCTTTGCAAGGTGAAGACGTCTCTGCAAGGTGAAGATGTCTCTGCAAGGTGAAGATGTCTCTGCAAGGTGAAGATGTCTGCAAGGCGAAGATGTCTCTGTAAGGTGAAGATGTCCGCAAGGCGAAGACGTCTTTGCAAGGTGAAGACGTCTCTGCAAGGTGAAGATGTCTCTGCAAGGCAAAGATGTCTCTGCAAGGTGAAGATGTCTGCAAGGCGAAGATGTCTCTGTAAGGTGAAGATGTCCGCAAGGGGAGAACGTCTGCAAGGTGAAGACGTCTCTGCAGGGTGAAGATGTCCGCAAGGGGAGAACGTCTGCAAGGTGAAGACGTCTCTGCAAGGTGAAGATGTCTGCAAGGCAAAGATGTCTCTGCAAGGTGAGGACGTCTGCAAGGTGAAGATGTCTCTGCAAGGTGAAGATGTCTCTGCAAGGTGAAGACGTCTCTGCTGGTTGAAGACGAAATGAGATTTCAGTACCTACAGAAGCTGATCTCTTCACTAGGTGTTGAAATAAGCTACTACTGATGAGTTCACTAACAACTCAGCCAAAATGGTGAAACAGTGAAAACAGCCTAGTTCATGAAGCCTCTTATACTTGCAGACAAGGCTGACTGAGTCATCTGTGTGATTTTATCACGTGGAAGAGTTTTTGTCCATTCTGCTGTTTATTAAAAGTTGAGTCATTCTTCTCTGGACAAGATCCTGCTGCAGGATCTGAACCTGGTTTAAGTCTGGCCCGTGTTGTTGCAGCACCTTTATTTTGTACATTCAGCCAAGCTTTGCTGGGGACTGTTGTCCTGTTTTCATATTTGGCTCTAGCATATTGTGTTTTACAGACAAGTGCGTGGTTGAGAAGGCGGCCAAATCATCAGTCGTCTGCCACCGTGCCTAATAACTGGTTGAAGATGTTTCTGCTGCAATAATGCTGGATTAGCACTTTATGGTCATCATCTTTACTTTTGTCTCATGGGTCCAAAGTGCATGGTGTCAGATGTCGAGCAGCCATGCTTTTTCTCCATATTTCAGAGGTTTTTCTTCCTCTAGCAACTCGTCCGAGCAAGCTGTACTCGTTCAGACATCTCCTTATTGTCCTGAATCTTACCCTTTATTCTGCTAAGATAGGCCTGTAGAGTTTTTATTTAAGTTTTTTTGTAGATTTTCTGACATTTCTTTACATTACCTTAAAGAAGATTGGCAACAGTTTCCACTGGTGAATGACGGACTTCTAATGGTTTGGAAGTAGCAGCATCTCTTTACTGCTGTGGTTTCTGATGGTTTATTATGCTAACACACACTCGTATGCTCCAGACCAAACATCTGTGTCCATACATGGTGATGGTCACTTAGTGCAGAGATTCCCAACCGGGGGTACGTGAACCCCTAGTGGTCACTGCTACTGAGAGAGGGCGTGAAGCCCCGTTCACACAATGCAGAATGGATGTGGTCCAGGTTCACATATGGGCCATTCCCATCTGTACCGGGTCGGCCCGGGCCGGGTAGCGTAGGTTGTTTACATGTCTGGGTGGCCTGGTATTTTTCCGGGCCAACCAAGGCTCATTCTCAGCCCTCTTCTCGAGGGGGTCTACTTCAGGCCGACCAGGGCCAACACACCCACTGCTGACAGCAAATTCACACCTTCCATTAGAGCAAGCCTCTGATTGGTGGGTAGAATCAGCCCACATGGGATTAAGGCAAGGATGTGTGGAATCAACCGGGCCAGGCTGGGGCCGACTGGGGCTACCCGGCCCGGGCCGACCCGGTACAGATGGGAATGGCCCAAAAGATCAGAAACAATTAAGTTCAATCAGAGCATTCACACCAGCTGTGGTGTGGACCTGGATGCAGAGCTCCAGAACGTTTCCACATGGAGCCTATTTTTTCCGAACCCTGCATGAGAATTGTTTAAGTTGAATAATTCACCTGAGCTAGACAGGAAGTGAGACCTGGTTCAGCGTTGAGGAGATTTAATTAAATGATTTTGATTTAATCAGTTGTACTTTTCACTTTTAGGGGATTGTCGGCACGTTTGACTAAGGGGGTACTCGTGGTTCAGGAAAACGAAGGCTCAGAGGGTCTACAATTCATAAAGGCTGGGAATCACCTGCTTAATGCATGCACTTATTTAGCAGCACCTGCTTGCTACTTTCTCTCCTAAATCCTCTAAAAGCAGAGCATTTATTTATTTATTTTATCCAGTTTGTGTTCGAGATACGATCATGCTAACTGAGATTGCCTTACTTTAATTCTAAATGCACGGAAAAATCAAAATAGTCTAAAATAAACCCAGAATGTTTTTTGTTCTTACATGAATGTTTCATTGAAATTCACATTACTGTGCTTTTGTAACAAGATGTTCTTTTACCATTTTGTCACCTTTTCGACTCGACAAACTTAAAACAACCTGACCTAAATATCAGTTTTTAAAGTGTATTTATTAATTATGTGTATTAGAAATCTGATTTATTATTGTCTTCAGTGACCTCCTTGTTGATCTCAGTCGGTTTAGACTGTTCCAGGTCCACACGCGTGACTCTAAAATGTTTATTTCACACCTGAAGAGCTCCTTCCTGCTTTGTTCTGCAGGTGGATCGAATGTCTTTCCCGTGCGGTTGCTCGAGGGACGGCTGTGGAAACGTCGCTGGTCGGATCGAGTTCAACCCGCTGCGTGTCAGAACTCACTACCTGCACACGATAATGAAGCTGGACTTGGAGAAAAGGAGGACCCAGATACAGGGCGCTGCAGAGCAGTTTGCCGATTCCGACCCATCTTCTCCCTCGTCCGTTTGTCCCACTTCCCCGACGCTGTCCTCTGGCGTTGGCCTGGACTCCGAGCTGGAGGAGAGCGAGGCACATTCAGTGGCAGAGGTTCAGGATCTCATGGTAGAGCAGGAGATCTTGGAGCGAGAGAATGAGACAGCAGTGCTGCACTTGCAGAGTGCTGAGGAGCAGGAGAGGAGGGAGAGGGAGGAAGCAGAGGGGGAGGCAGTGCAGCAGGAGCTGGACTCTGGTAGACTCACAGAGCAGCCTCTCTGCCTCCTCCCAGGGGAGCTACCTGAGCAGGCAGAGGTGCCAGGCGTGGATCAGATCCTCCTGCAGGGGCCTTTTCCTACAGGAGCTACAGTGTTGTGCATCTCCGACAATCAGGAGGAGAGCCCCTCTGAGCTCCTAAAAGACTCCTCGTCTCTGCTGTACTATCAGCTTAGCCCCATCGAGCCCGGAGCCTTTGAGTCGCTGCCGAGGGCAGAGGAAGACGACCACGATGAGCTCTTGCAGAGAGGAACTGAGCTGAAAAAGAGGAAACAAGATGGAGTAGAGAAGCTGAAGGCTGATGGGCATGAAGACAAAGTTAGCTCGCAGAATGTGGATGAATGTTTGACCGGTGCGATTCTGCACTCAGAGGAGGAGGAGAAGCATGGAAGTCTTCAAAAAAATGTCCTGAAAGAGCAGCGCCAGAAGGAGTCCGTCTCGGAGACACAAGTCCCTCCGCTGCCTCCTGAAGTTTAACTTTAACTTCTCTGCAGATGTTTTGCACAATAGCTTCATCTAAGATGAGTAAATGACATATTCCACATTAATCCATCTATCATCTAGATTAACTACAGGCTGTAATCTCCTATAGTCTCATTAACGTATGTGCAGCATAAGCTTGATGGTTCTAATAAATGAGACGAGCGATGCTGTCGGCACACACAGATCACTCCCTAGAAGTAATACAAGTTTTGGTATGAAAAGACAACACGGTGGGGACTTCTGTGGGGGAGGGGGAGGGGGGGGGAGCCTTATTGGGAACACATAAAATCACTTGAGTCAATTCTGATGCAACACAGCAAACAGAAACAGTGTGTAACGCTGAAATCAGCCTTGAGTTAGGTTGGTGCATAAAGCAATCGGCACTGAACACAAACTAGATGCCACCCCCACCCCCGTGTGTTCAGCCTGTGCTGCAGTCATACCAAATGAAGGTCTCAGATAGCGTTCTCTGCTAAAGACAGATTGAATAATCCTGGAAATACTTGTTTCTATGTACTGTATATGCATCTGCAATGTGCAAGAGAGCTGCTTTTTCTGATCTGTGTGCACATTGTGAGCTGAATGCTTCGCTGCTCGGAGTCATGAAGGTAAAACAGCCCACCGTGGAGCAGCAGGTCAGCGCTGGCCTTAGTTGTGACTAACTCACCTCGAACCGCTCGCACAAATGCGGCCAAATTGTCAAACGAAAACAAAAAAAGGTATAGTTACAGTGCTGATGACGTCGTATCTTTAATTAATGTGTCTTTTGTGGATTAGATGTTGTTGGTTTTAAAGTCGGAATGCTTGCAGTCTGTGGTTTTTTATGGAAGGAAATGTTTGTTTTAAGTTGCTGCATCAGAGTACCGTGCAGTCAGCGGTGATGAAAACCAGAGTAGAGCTTCCCAGCCGTTTCTAGAAGAGCTGATTCTGAATCGAGCCAAATCACATATGGAGAATAAATAAATTAAAAAAATGGATGAAAAGAAACAACATAAGCAGCTGGAGAAGCTTAAATTAAACAATGTGACGGTACGGGGCACCGACTGTAAAAGAAAACATTAAAAAAATTTTCATCTATATTAGATTATATTTAGCTTCCCGTAATAATGATTAAAAACAAACTGTTATGATAAAGTAAAAAAAATATAAATGTTTAGAATTAAATCTGAATAAATAGGGTTAAGTAAATGTTTAGAACCTGTTTTAAATATATTTAAATCAGGTTCATTTTTGGGTTTAAATCTTAATTCAGACTGCTGTAATTAAAGTAAAAGCTCCTATCACATTCCTCAGAAGATCTTGAGTCGGTGTGTATTATCCATGTGCGTGAGGAACCCTGCAGGAAAACTGATAAATGATCAGTGGTTGATTGAGCTCACACAGGCTCGCCATCAGAGAGATTCACACATAAAGGGGATCTGTTCTTCCTGCTTTTATTTTGGTAGGCGACTTTCACTTTACAGCCACTAATTGTGGAGTCTAAAACATTTAAAATTAGATTCGAAAATTTATGTTTAAATGTGAATCTAAACATTTACATTTGATTAAAATTTAAATATTTAGTTTAAAATTGAATCTACACTTTAAATGTAATTGATACCATTTAGGTTTATTTTTAAGAAATTAGACATAATGTCATTTACTCCCAATTTTGTTATCAGCTCAATGCAACAGAATTAAGCTGTTAATTTTTACAACCAGCGCCCCATATGATGTTAACTATTAAGCTTTTTAACACGGTTGTGTGTGTATGCCTTTACTTTACAGTTGTAGGTCTATGTCAGAGCGAAAGATGTGTGTGAGTGTGTATGTGTGTATGTGTCATTACGTACCTCATTTGGGTTCTCAGTCGAACTACATATTTTAAATTTGAAGGCGCTGATGTTACAGATGTTGGATTTTTATTTGCCCGCCATCAAGAGAAAGGATTCTCACTCAGAGCCTCTTGTAGGAACGCAATAGCTACCGCACCGCAGCTCATTAGTATGTTGGTGATGGATGGAGATGTTTTGTGATCGAGTATGTAAACACAACTGTATAACATAGCTGGTCTTTAAATGTGTTTTCTAAGCTCCGTCTGGTTAACACTGATCTGCGTAAGCGAGCCGACACTTCTTACACAAAATCAGTCCTTTGTTTTGTTGCCTAAAACTCCTGCTGCTGCCGCCGGCGACAGCTCGCCTAACACAGGATGTGCTGCTGTGTATAAGCTGTCAGACGTATTTCTTTAGCCTTTTATTTGTTATTGTCTTAATATAATCTTGCTTAAGAGCTGCAACAAAGCTGTGGTTTCAAACCTAAATAAAAGATGCTGCCACGCATCAGACTGTGACAAAGCAGTCTCCTGTAGTTATTGTGAGTCTGAAGAACTATTGTGGCTCTTTGTGTTTGAACAGAACACCGTCTTTGAAGTGATAATAATTACAAGCTGCGTGTCGTTGAGCTTTCTGTCTTTGGCTTTCTCCTAACAGAATTAGGTTTGGAACCGCTGCAGTGAGTGATCTCGTGCTCTCTGTGATTGTGTGTTTCACTGTGTGAAAGACGTGCGTGTGACTGTGGAGAGGACTGGTATGTTTAGACTTCATCTAATAGCTGTGAGAACTGCTCTCATGCTAACTGTTGCCTAAAGTGGACAAAAGGTTTTTATACAAAAGTGAAAACAATAAAACACTCTCTAAACATTCCTGTTGGTTCTGTGTTGCTTTTAAAAGCAAATATATTTGTAATGCCTCCTGGGCACTTCCCTCGGGAGGTGTTGTGGGCATGTCCTACCGGCAGGAGGTCCCCAGGTTCACCCTGGACTACCTGGAGGAAATGCATCTCTAGGTTGGCCAGGGAACGCCTTTGTGTCCCAGCTGAGGAACTGGCGTACTTGGCCGGAGAGTGGATTGCCTGAGAGGCCCTACTTTGGATGCTGCACCCACGACCCAGACCCTGGATAAGCGGAGGAAGGTGAGGTGAGGTGAAATGGTCTGTTGGCCTTTAACTGATTGGAGATGGTTTTCTAGCCTTTAGCTGACTGGAGATGGTCTTCTAGCCTTTAGCTGACTGGAGATGGTCTTCTAGCCTTTAACTGATTGGAGATGGTCTTCAAGCCTTTGATTGGAGATGGTCTTCTAGCCTTTAGCTGAGTGGAGATCGTATTCTAGCCTTTAGCTCATTGGATATATTCTTCAAGCATTTAGCTGAGTGGAGATGGTCTTCTAGCCTTTAACTGATTGGACATGGTCTTCTAGCCTTTAGCTGAGTGGAGATGGTCTATTAGCCTTTAGCTGAGTGAAGATGGTCTATTAGCCTTTAGCTGAGTGAAGATGGTCTTCTAACCATTAGCTGACTGTAGATGGTTTTCTAGCCTTTAGCTGACTGGAGATGGTCTTCTAGCCTTTAGCTGACTGGAGATGGTCTTCTAGCCTTTAACTGGTTGGAGATGGTCTTCAAGCCTTTGATTGGAGATGGTCTTCTAGCCTTTAGCTGAGTGGAGATCGTATTCTAGCCTTTAGCTCATTGGATATATTCTTCAAGCATTTAGCTGAGTGGAGATGGTCTTCTAGCCTTTAACTGATTGGACATGGTCTTCTAGCATTTAACTGAGTGGAGATGGTCTATTAGCCTTTAGCTGAGTGAAGATGGTCTATTAGCCTTTAGCTGAGTGAAGATGGTCTTCTAACCATTAGCTGACTGTAGATGGTCTTCTAGCCTTTAACTGATTGGACATGGTCTTCTAGCTGTTAGCTGAGGGGAGATGGTCTATTAGCCTTTAGCTGAGTGGAGATAGTTTTCTAGCCTTTAGCTGACTGGAGATAGTCTTCTAGCCTTTAGCTTAGTGGAGATGGTCTTCTAGCCTTTAGCTGAGTAGATATGGTCTTCTAGCCTCTGATTGGAAATGGTCTATTAGCCTTTAGCTGAGTGAAGACATTTTTATAGCCGTTAGCTCATTGGATATATTCTTCAAGCATTTAGCTGAGTGGAGATGGTCTTCTAGCCTTTAACTGATTGGACATGGTCTTCTAGCATTTAGCTGATTGGAGATGGTCTTCTAGCATTTAGCTGAGTGGAGATGGTCTATTAGCCTTTAGCTGAGTGAAGATGGTCTTCTAGCCTTTAACTGATTGGAGATGGTCTTCTAGCATTTAGCTGATTGGAGATGGTCCTCTAGCATTTAGCTGATTGGAGATGGTCTTCTAGCATTTAACTGATTGGAGATGGTCTTCTAGCATTTAGCTGATTGGAGATGGTCTTCTAGCCTTTAACTGATTGGACATGGTCTTCTAGCCTTTAGCTGAGTGAAGATGGCCTTCTAGCCATTAGCGAGTGGAGATGGTCTATTAGCCTTTAGCTGAGTGAAGATGGTCTTCTAGCCTTTAACTGTTTGGAGATGGTCTTCTAGCATTTAGCTGATTGGAGATGGTCTTCTAGCATTTAGCTGATTGGAGATGGTCTTTTAGCATTTAACTGATTGGAGATGGTCTCCTAGCATTTAACTGATTGGAGATGGTCTTCTAGCATTTAGCTGATTGGAGATGGTCTCCTAGCATTTAACTGATTGGGGATGGTCTTCTAGCATTTAGCTGATTGGAGATGGTCTTCTGGCCTTTAGCTGAGTGGAGATGGTCTTCTAGCATTTAGTTGATTGGAGGTGGTCTATTAGCCTTTAGCTGAGTAGATATGGTCTTCTAGCCTCTGACTGGAAATGGTCTATTAGCCTTTAGCTGAGTGAAGACATTTTTATAGCCGTTAGCTCATTGGATATATTCTTCAAGCATTTAGCTGAGTGGAGATGGTCTTCTAGCCTTTAACTGATTGGACATGGTCTTCTAGCATTTAGCTGATTGGAGATGGTCTTCTAGCATTTAGCTGAGTGGAGATGGTCTATTAGCCTTTAGCTGAGTGAAGATGGTCTTCTAGCCTTTAACTGATTGGAGATGGTCTTCTAGCCTTTAACTGATTGGAGATGGTCTTCTAGCATTTAGCTGATTGGAGATGGTCCTCTAGCATTTAGCTGATTGGAGATGGTCTTCTAGCATTTAACCTATTGGAGATGGTCTTCTAGCATTTAGCTGATTGGAGATGGTCTTCTAGCCTTTAACTGATTGGACATGGTCTTCTGGCCTTTAGCTGAGTGAAGATGGCCTTCTAGCCATTAGCGAGTGGAGATGGTCTATTAGCCTTTAGCTGAGTGAAGATGGTCTTCTAGCCTTTAACTGTTTGGAGATGGTCTTCTAGCATTTAGCTGATTGGAGATGGTCTTCTAGCATTTAACTGATTGGAGATGGTCTCCTAGCATTTAACTGATTGGAGATGGTCTTCTAGCATTTAGCTGATTGGAGATGGTCTCCTAGCATTTAACTGATTGGAGATGGTCTTCTAGCATTTAGCTGATTGGAGATGGTCTTCTGGCCTTTAGCTGAGTGGAGATGGTCTATTAGCCTTTAGCTGAGTGAAGATGGTCTTCTAGCCTTTAACTGATTGGAGATGGTCTTCTAGCATTTAGCTGATTGGAGATGGTCTTCTAGCATTTAGCTGATTGGAGATGGTCTTCTAGCATTTAGCTGAGTGAAGATGGTCTTCTAGCCTTTAACTGATTGGAGATGGTCTTCTAGCATTTAGTTGATTGGAGGTGGTCTATTAGCCTTTAGCTGACTGGAAATTGTCTTCTAGACTTTAGCTATGCTTCTAAAATGAGAAGACAATGGACAAGTAGAATTTGTAAAAAGAAGTGGCACACTCTGCTGACTACATAAGAAAAGCATGTTTCTAAGAAATTGGAACTATTTAAAAAAAGAACAGACAGATCCTGAGAGTTGCATCATCCTGCAGTCGCTTTTTCTCAGCACCTTGTTTTTTGCTGATAATTCCAAAAAGATCACCTTCTTGGTGCTAGAATGCAACTTTACATATGTCAAACTGGGCTATATATATGTATCTTATCTAGCAAAAGTAATTTGAAATGGGGTTTGTAAATGAACAACAATGGTTATCCTGTGGAGTTTTGAGTCTTTTAATGATAAAAAGACTAAACTATGAGCAAAGAATAGCTTTAAAAAAGCCTGTACGCCATTAAAACAGGAGAACAACTCGAGGAGATGTTACTAAAATTCCATCAGGGTTCATTTCATGTCATTTAGCCACAATCTAGCAGCTGTTTAAGAAAGGAGCTTTTATTTCCATATTTTTTTCCAAAGCTAGATTGTGTGAACACTTTCAGCCCGAGATCATGAGGTTGTTTCTTCTCATCCACCAGTCTAAATCCAGTCTTCATGCTTGAGGTCACTGGATGACGGCCTGTCTGCAGTATGATCTGTGGTCACTAGAGGGCAGCATATAGTTAGTGTGACATGGGAGATGGTCAGGTTTTGGGTTAGTGTGGATTTAAATGATTATCAAGTTATTTATATGATTTCGTTGCACTGATTTATTTGATTTGTGTAATTATAAGGCCAAACCTTTACAGAAAAATAGTATTACTATTCAATTTTTATCAGATTTAACATTATTCTTTTTGCTTGTCTTCAACATATGACTAGTTACTGCAGGTGAAACGGGTTTGCATATTTTTATCCTGAAATTAATACAACTGTCACAATCACCCACATGTTGGTTATAAACAGCCAAAGAAAGTTGCATCAGTCGTTTCAGTCCAATGCCATGGATGAAACATTTATTTTTGGGGAATCATAACAATGTTAAACTCTGTTCAAACAAACCTATATTTGAAGATTCGTTATTATTTATGTGAGTGAAAGCCTCTTAAAACAATACACACTCATTTATTTTCTACCAAATGGACACACTCCTCCCACGAGGACCACCTGGGTGTTGAGCATTACTCCCTCTCTGTTTGTGTTTACATTTATGCCATGTTTGAGGTTGAAATTGGGACAAACAAATTAGTCCTGGAACAATTGTGGCACAGCGCCCCATGCAGCTCCGAGAACCTTGCATAATCTGTTTCACCTTTCCGGCCTCTGGCTTTCCTTTGTTTTCTCTCCAGTAGCAGGAAGAAGTCATCTCACTTTGCACTGGGGCTGGATATGGAGTCATTCATGAGCTTCTGAAAAGATTTAGGGCCACTGGGGAAAAAAAAAGCTAAAATATTGTTATCAGTCGTCTTCGTGCTGCTTGGAGATGTGCAAAATAACTGGTTTAATCTGAGTTTTGATTGGACTGTTTTCACCTGACAAAGCTATTACCGTAAGAGAGAGAATGTGTGTGTGCATGTGTGTGTGTGTGAGGGCGTTCGTGCATGTGTGTGTGTGTGAGTGTGTGTGTGCGCATGTGTGCGTGTGCGTGCATGTGCGTGCGTGCGTGTGTGTGTGTGTGTGTGCATGCGCGAGTGTGTGTGTGCATGTGTATGCATGTGTGCATGTGTGTGTGTGTGCGCGCGTGTGAGTGTGTGTGTGTGTGTGTGTGTGCATGCATGCATGTGTGTGTGTGCATGCACGTGTGTGTGTGTGTGTGCATGCGCGAGTGTGTGTGTATGTGTGTGTGTGTGTGTGTGTGTGTGCATGTGTATGCATGCATGTGCATGTGTGTGTGTGTGTGTGTGAAATGGAAAGTTGCCTCGTCTGTCGTCTGAAAGTGCATCTCCAGAGCCAGGAAATAAGGCTTTCTGTTCCCTCTCCTTCCTCCCTCTGACGGCAGCACGATGTCATCATTAGACCTTCACCCACACCAGTCCCTTTT